CTCTCACCCTCCCTTCCTTCTGGAAGGAATTGATTCCGAGAGATCCAGACACTCCTGAGTAAGTAAGGGGAAACTAGTCTCCCCTTCAAAAGATCTGGCCACTCTGGAAACTAATAAATGATTCAAGGGCATTCTTGAAGCCAAGCTCCAGAGGTGTACATCCCACAGCTTACCACGGGCCATAAAGACACAGGCAGTGTGGACTTTCGACATCAGTAACATCCTGGGTGTTGGCTGGGGCCTACAGACCATGGCCAGAATAATCAGCAGGTGCTACTGTCACAGAAACACAAATAACTCTACAATCAAAGTAAGATTTTTCCCTTATCCTGTAATTTGGAAATCCATCTTTTTCATTTCAGACATGAAAGGCAGAAAAAGTTTACAAAAGTTTTTACAATAAAATGGACAATATATGGAAATGAAAATACATAGAATTTAATGTATGTTACAATAAAATATTTATAAATGTATAATTTAATGATGTTTTAAAGTTGCAGTAGCCCTCTATGAACTAGGTTGGCATTAACAAGAAATCTACTGCAGACATCAACTCTAAACACTTAATTCCACAATACACATTTGTGATTAATTAGATAAATACCTATTGGCCTGGGATATAGCCTGGTGGTAGATCTCTTGATTAGCCTATCTCAGGCCCTGGGTTTGGAACCAAGCACCACAGAAAAGTAAATGACCTTCCATTGTGTCTACACTGTATAATAGAGGTCTGCAGAATGGTGTTCATGGGCTATGACCTTAAAGCAGGGTAGGTGCATCAGAGGGTCACCAAAGGTGGCAGAGCCAGCAAATACAGTGAAGGGGGCAGGATATGGTGAGCTGGAGAAACCTGAGGAACTTGAGATGACTGAGGAGATAAAATGCAAAAACAGAGCCAGGACCACTTGATTCTACTCTAGGAAATGCTAAATTTCCTGTGAAGGAACAGGGGGAACATCTGGGAGATTTTCAAAGAAGCACAGGACCTCACTGGGTGATGGGTATTATTTTGGTTCCCCATATATTTCCAACACTGTCCAGGGAAATGGCAGTTCCATTTTCCCTACCCCCTACATAAAGAAGCACAGTCACTTGACCCATCAGGCCCATGAAATATGAGCAAAAGTGGTTATGTCACATCTGGTAGAAGTTTTTAGAGCAGTTCTAATTCCCCTTTGGAGGCAATCAGAGATGCTGAAAGTCATGTTCATTAATGCCCTCTTGAGTGTCTAAAATTTCCAGGAAGTCCCTGACTAGCTATAACCAGAGTTCCTCCAACCACCTCCCACCTCTTCCTATCCCCTTTTAGGATCACACAGTGTACATGAAAGGAGAAATCCCATGACTACAAGCTGTTGGGTTTGGGCAGCTGGAACTGCCCCCATAATAGCCTTCCTAGTACCATAAGTAGTTTTAAAGGATAAGTCTGACAATAAGATAAACGATGAATTTCAGAGAACTTGTAGAGCAGGAAACTAGCCAGAGGGATCCTGAACTTCACGGATGATGAGTGCAGGCTCCAGGGCGGTAGTCATGAGCTTAGGAAAGCAGTCACTGACATGAGGGCAGCAACTGACCTGAGATCAAGAGCCCTGAAGTCTCACTGTTTCAGTAGTGTTGAGAGGAGAAAATTTTTGCCATAAAAGGGATGACAAAGAGAGGAGATGAAGCTTAAGAATATTAAAAAAGGAAGTATGAGCACCCGGGGAAGTGTGTGTCTCCGCAAAAGTGAAGGCCCTTCTCTGCACGGTAAAGAATTCTGGAAGATTATGACTACAGGAAAACAATTTTGAGTGTGAATGCTGTAATTCAACAGTAATACACACACACACACACACACACACACACACACACACACTGCCCTAATGGGGCTTATACTGAAATGTAGAGAAGCAGAGAAACATGTAGGCATTATGCAGAAAACAAAATATCACGATTTTAACAGGGGACAGACATAATTACATAGGGTTTGTCAAACGTAACACCATTTAATTTTGTTCACACCTCCATCTAGTATCAAAGTCAAAAGGAGGGACTTCTGCATCCACACCCTGTGAGCCACACCACTTGCCTTGTGTTTGTTCTCATTCAAGAACCCAACTGTGAAAAATTAGTTTTCTTGACCAACATTATTTTTTTAAACCAAGGATTCTAGGGCCAGGTATATAGCTCAGTGGTACAAGCACCTGCCTGAAAAACACAAGGTCCTGAGTTTGATTTCTGATACCAAAACAAAGATTCTGCTCAATTAATCCTATAGGTGAGCAGGAAAACCACTCCAGTAACACTGTGTGTGTGTGTGTGTGTGTGTGTGTGTGTGTGTGTGTGTGTGTGTGTGTGTTGGGGTTGCAGGGCAGATGAGAAGGTGATAGGTCACTAATCCTGGCTTTAGACAAGTCACTTGTCCAGGATTCCTGTGCACCTGACTCACCTGGAGGTTGTGGAGAAGGTAAACTACTGGGGTGGGGAGTGTTGGTCCTCTGCATTCTTAAGCCTTCCTGGGATGCCAAAGCTGCCCACCCCAGGGATGCAAAGGAAAGGTTCACGATGCCTTGGGAGGGCACTGAGCTCAAGGAGCTAACAGGCCGTGTTCTGCTCTTGTTCCTTTAGTACCGAGCTCAGAGTCATCTCGGCCCTGTGCTAATGTTTCTCACTAATCCCATGTATTTTCCCTTTTCAGACTGGAGAATCAGATTGCAGTAGATGACAGTTGAGTGGAGACACCAGACAAAGGGCTTCTGACAGAATGCTATATTCCCACAAGTCCCTGAGATGGTTACTATGATTATCCTAACATTATAGAGAGAAGATTCCTGCCCAGAAAATTTAAATCACACCAGTCAGTAGGGACCACTCCAATGACCAGGCTCTTAACTATTGCTTACTCTTTGCTGTGTTTATATTACATGTCTTTCCTACTCAGTTGCTGTATCAGAAATGACTTGCAGCTCACTTCTGCCATCCATTTGAAAATAGATAAAACCAAGCCCAATCTCCCATTAAAATGACACAACATCGAGAAAAGGCAAATTGAAATTCAAGTTGAGAAATCTGCAATTCAGCACAGAGAGGGAGCAATGAAAATTAGAACCAAGAATTTGTTCTGTTTTGTTTTTTGACAAGTAATGTTCATGCTTCCCCCAAATTTCCTTAGCCAGGAGGAGAAGCCACTAGGTAGCACTGCAATCTCTGTGGTCTGGGCACAAACTCCAGTGTCTGTAAATCTTAAAGAAGAGGTTAACATACGCCCTTTTTATTGTTGTACTAAGAAAACACTCTAATTCAATGCAGTTAACCAAAATATGTATGCAAAAGCGGGAGCCCTCAAACTTGCTTCCACCCGAGTGTCTTCAGGGACTTGTGAAACAGAGCCCTCTGGAGTTTGATGGAATCAGCTTGGGATGGACCATGTGTCAGGATTTTTCAATGCCCTTCGGGAATTCTAACGCACAGCCACAGTTGAGAACTGCTGGCACAAAAGACACAGAGAAAACTCTCTCTCACCCCACCATCAAAAGAGTAAATAAATCCTGGGTGGAGGTCTTTGCTCACTGCTGGAGTTTTACCGCCCTGCCTGGCTGCACAGACACGACATGCTAGGAGACCTTGATTCGAATGGCAAGCAAGTCCCACCCAGTGTCCAAGCACACAGTTCACACTCGCTCAGTGCCTAGAACCAACCACAGCAGGGGTCAGCAGCACTCTCCAAGGCAAAGGGTCTCAACCCAGGGATGGAATCCAGGTCGTGGGTGAACTTGGATGGGGAAGAAAAAAAAAAGAACATTTTAGTTTGGATGGGGAAGAAAAAAAAAAGAACATTTTAGTTTTACAAATTTTTCAGTCTAGCACTCCCTCTGTATCAGTACAGGCAACAAGCCACAGCTGGCCTGGCCATTTGGATCCTTGGCACCCACCAGTGACTCCATGCCACACTTCAGTTTGCCAGCTACCTGCAGTACTATTCGCAGTCATCACTATAATGCGATCACAGTTGTATAACAGACCTACTGTTAGATCTAGCTACTTAATGCAATAATAACAATTATTATTATTATTATTATTATTAATGGCTGTTACTTATCAAGACTTCAGTATTGTACTATGATGATTGTATTCCAGTAAAACGGCTTTTGGTTTAGTTGTGTTTTATGCATTTAACATTATTCTCAGTAGGGGTCTAAATTCTTCGCTCCCTGCTCAAAGCCATGTCCCAATAAGCCAGAGCCGGCCTATTTCCACCCTAGGCTCCGAGGAAAGCGTGCCCCCCTCCCACGAGGGCGACAGCCTGGATAGGAGTTGGGCTTGTTTTCCCCGCATTTCCGCAGATAAGATTTTTTTTAGCCTGAAAAGCCAGTTCAACTCGGGGGATAGAATAGGATGGACTTTCTCTCTCCCCTCAGCTGCCTCTTTCTCTTGGCATTTGGGAATGCCCCAACTGCCAGGCAGGTAACTTGAGCCACCAAATTAATCAAAACACACAGCTCCCAGTTCAAGCCCTGGCAGACAAGCCTGGGAGCTAAACAGGTTCTCCTCTAGTGACCCCAAGGCCCTAATTCCCAGCCATCCCAGCCCCGGATGCTGCAGGTTCCTGCACTGCCCCCTCTCCACAGGTGCCCAGGCTGGCGACAGCGTCCCGTAGCACGCCTGCAGAGGTTCCCTACCTGCGGGTCGCCGCAGCGCCGGTGCCGCGCACCCTTGGGCCCTGGGACCAGATCCACTCCACTGCTCTCTGGAGGCCACGTCGCTCAAGTCCGACGGCGACAGCCAGGAGGCGGCCCAGGCAGCCAGAAGCACGGCGCGGGGGCCTGAGCGAGCGGCCGGGCCAGTGCAGAGCCCTGCGCCCTCCGGCTTAATCTGGGCAGAGCCTCTGGCCACTCCCTCCGCCCCGCACCGCCACCTACCCACCGCGCAGCCCCGGCCCCGCACTCTGCCCCGCCTGAGCCCCCGGGGCCCTGGGGCGTCACCTCCCGACCCGGGCCTGGACGCGTGCCCACCAGCCTGCCTGCGGTCCCGGCCGCTCTGGTCCCGGGCTCCGCGCCCGGCCCCAGGGACAGCAGCGCCCGGTGTCCTGGGAGGGAGGGACCGAGGGAGGGCGCCGAGGGCGGGCCTGGAGCCGCTTTTTCCCTCCCTGGGAGCCGCCACCGTAGCCGGGCGGGGAGGGACCCACCGCGCGGCCGAGCCCTACAAAACCCTCCCCGGGGAACGGGCGAGGCGGGCGCCACGGAAAGGGACGCGGTGGCCCGGATCCTGCGGTCCCCGGACGGCCCGGTCCCCGACGGCCGGCGCCCACCATGCGCCCCGGCCCCGCGCCCCGGCCGCCCGCGCGCCTGCTCTGGCTCCTTCTAGCGCTCCTGGCGGCCGCGCCCGCCGACGGCAAGGTGAGTGCAGGGCTGCGCGACCCCCGGCGGCTCTCGGCCTCTCCCGCCTCGCCGGCGGGGGGCGCTGTCCGCGAGCCTGGCCCGGCTCCGGGGGCTCCACGCGCGTCGGACCGCGGGAACAGGTGGAAGGCACGGTGCTGCGGGAAGAGGCCGAGGGGGCGCGAGGGCAGGCCCCCAGGGTCGGGTGGAAGGGAAGGACTTCCAGGGTTCATCGAGTTCGTGGATGCTGAGACGATAGATAGCTGGGTGACAGGTGGATGGATGGGCAGATCGCCAGGAGGCGCCTGAAAAGCGCCGCAGAAGCAGGGAAGGATCCTGGATGGTGGCTCGCACTGGCGCTGGACCTGGTCTGAGGCTCAGAGCCGGCGGAGAAAGCTGCGGGAGTCCCGCCCGCCGCCTTCCTTCCTGCCTAGGATCCAACCTCAACTCTGACCCCTCCGTGCCTAAATTTGACCTTGGACACAGTTGGGAAAGCAAACGCTGCCCTTGATGTTGACGAAGTAGAGGTCCTATTAGGCTAAATGAGGCGATCCCACCTTGGTTCTGTTTCTGTTCGGAGTTTGAATGGTCCTGAGGTTATTTAAGTCCACTTGCTGTTTCTTATTCTTTACCATTAAAGAGAGAGCATCCTCGGAATTCTAATAGTTGCTGACTAGATTTTGATTTGTGAAAGTGAAATTTAACTTTTCAGGGGCTTTGTGTTATTTTTACGCTTCAAAGTCAGTCGGAGTGATAACAGGATAATAAATTTCATTTCCGAAGATGAGCTGATGCTTTAAGAATTCCATGCTTGTGGTTGTGATTGGAAATCAATAACTACAGGATGACTTATATGTTACATGAAAAGAGTTTTAGAACCTAGGACCACATAAAGTCCTTGGGTTTTTTTTTTTTCCTATTTAACTTAAATTTTAAGTTAAAACATGGACATATAGGTGTAGCTGAAACTCTTTGACCACCCCTTGTCGCACCAGATTTATAGACGCTATAGCTCTCTAGACTTCTGTCTTCTCTGAGATATCTGCTTTCATCAATTTCATACCTCTTTCCAGGCCTTTACATACATACGCACGGACCCACAAAGAACAAGTAATTGGTAACGTAATTGATTGCACACTGCATGTGTGCACATATATTGTTTTTGCAGCTCAAGCATCTGTGTATGCCAGGATGGAGGTTATACCTTGTCCTTGCATAGGTTTTTCACAATCTGCCAAAGTTATGCGAACTTTTCCCATTCTCAAACCATTTACATTTAGGTTATTGAGTGTTTCGCATCCTGAAGAATTTTTGCAATCCCTTTCATCTCTTCATGCACTTGATTCTGACAAAAAAAAAAAAAATACACTTTCATAGAAGAGGAATACCAGTGTGGTCAGCAAATACTGATGGAGTTCATTCAGGTCCATGCGGGTCGTCTACCTGCTTTAACCAGAAGCAAATAGATCCAAAAGGGAGAAAGCCTAAAGGCTAAATGTTGTGCGATGTTCCGAGAAAGAGTTCGAGGTCAGAGTTGCGCATCCTTCTGAACTCTGTAGATAAAGACCAAGATTGGGGAGGGTGGTAACGAAATGGAAAGATGGTTCCCTTCGAGAGAGGCATGCTCTGCAGTTACAGCATTTTCAGCCGCATCCTTTGTAATTCACATGCAAAATTTTCTGCTGAGACTTTGGCCAAGTCTTGGCACTTTATTGCTTTAATTAGTATTATGCTAATACTAATTATTGGAATAACACACCACTATTATGATTAATGTTAATTATTGTAATGAACAAATCCATATATACTGTTTCTAATCACCACTTGAAGGAAGTCTTTACTGGAGGGTTAAGGGTGATCATTGCCGTTGTACCTGCTGCAGTAGACAGAAAATAAGATACTACAATCATGAAGTAGAGGGGGAGGAGGGAGAGGGGAAGTAAAAATGACCAAGATGCTAATATTTTATGTGCCAGTTCCCCAAGATGAGTGTAATTATTGTATATTGCAAGTATAACATAACTTTTTTAAAAAAGAATATCAGAACTCAGGGCTTTCATGTGGTGGAGAAAAGCAATCTCCAGTTACCTGGTAATTGGCTGTCCTGTGCCGACAACTGTTCTCCTTGCCAACTAACTCTGACATTCAGCAAGGCCCTTACCAGTTGGGGCATCAGTCTTGCCATCTGTGAAGTGGGTGACACTTTGACTGGGGCCAGCATGAGCGAGGTGGAAAGGTAAGGGACAATCTTGATTGCCAACTAGCTGTTGGCATCCTGGGCCAGCCTAAGAGCACCAGAATGTGGTCAGAAGAAAAGCCAGGGACTTCGTGTTTACCAGAAATGGCTCAAGTTCTAAATACTGGCAGGTGACTCAAAACTTTACCAAAAACATAATGTGGACCAAACAATGTATAAATGAGAGCTAAATTTAACCTTCGGGCCTCCTGCTGATCGTCTTCGTGCTACCTGAGCTAAGGACGAACCTTGTTCTAGATTGCTCCAGTCACCTAGCATTCCTTGAAACAGGAAGATAGCAGGCGTGGTGACCCTGCGTGCTGAGCTTGGGCAGGGGGAAGCTAGCTGTCTACCCAGAGTTTGTTCTGGAGCACCCAGAGGAACTAGCGCTGCTGCCGGCCTCGGTACCCACCCCAGGCTGGCTCTGAGGCCTTCTCCTGCTCTCTAGCTGCCTCTTCCCCGCCCACCCTCTTGTGCCTGGGTGCTCCCTGCTCTCACCCTGGGCAAGCAGTCTGGGAGAGGAGGTCTGAGAAGCCCCTTCTTTGATCTCTGAGTAACGTGAGGTTCACCAGTGGTGATGTCAGGACTTACCTTCCTCTCTCTACCTTCATTTCTAGACAGGGCAGAACCATGAGGAGCAAATCTCAAAAGCTAGAAAACTGCTACATTTAGGAAGGAGGCATTCTTGCTTTATTTCATTTTTAAATTTAAAGAGTTCTGTTATACTGGGAAATATTTGAAACTGACAAAAAAAGTAACGTAACAGGCACTGATTTATCTTTCCTTGAGATGAAGCAAGTATTAATAAACATTGGTTTGTTGGGGCTCAGATTTCTCCCTTGAGAAAGAAAAAAACATACAGAAAGTTCTACCCACATGCTTTAGCC